CCATCTTTCTTTCTTTCATTTTCCGCTTTTCTCTCTTTTATTTTCCGTCTTTCTTTCTTTCATTCACTTTCCGTCTTTCTTTCTTTTTTTCTTTCTTTCTTTCTTTCATTTTCCGTCTTTCTTTCTTTCTTTCTTTCATTTTTCCGTCTTTCTTTCTTCCTTCCTGCCTTCCTTCCTTTCTTCCTTCCTGCCTTCCTTCCTTTCTTGCTTTCTTTTTTTCATTTTTCTTTCTTTCTTTCTTTCTTTCTTTCTTTCTTTCTTTCTTTCTTTCTTTTTCCCGTCTTTCTTTCTTCCTTCCTTCCTTTCTTCCTTTCTTTCTTTTTTTCATTTTTCCGTCTTTCTTTCTTACTTTCATTTTTCCGTCTCTCTTTCTTTCTTTTTTCGGTCTTTCTTTCTTTCTTTCTTTCTTTCTTTCTTTCTTTCTACATTGCGCTTAATCTATTGCGTTTTTCATCCTCTTTCTGTCTTTTAATCTTTTTAAACACTTCATTTCATATCTTTTCTTTCTTTCTTTCTTTCTTTCTTTCTTTCTTTCATTTTTCCGTCTTTCTTTCTTTTTTTTCTTTCTTTCTATCTTTCTTTCTTTCTTTTTTCCGTCTTTCTTTCTTTCTTTCTTTCTTTCATTCATTTTTTCGTCTTTCTTTCTTTCTTTTTTCCGTCTTTTTTCTTTCTTTCTTTCTTCCGTCTTTCTTTCTTTCTTTCTTTCTTTCTTTCTTTCTTTCATTTTTCCGTCTTTCTTTCTTTTTTCTTTCTTTCTATCTTTCTTTCTTTCATTTTTCCGTCTCTCTTTCTTTCTTTCTTTCATTTTTCCCTCTTTCTTTTTTTCTTTCTTTCTTTCTTTCTTTCTTTCTTTCTTTCTTTCTTTCTTTCTTTCACTTTCCGTCTTTCTTTCTTTCTTTCTTTCTACATTGCACTTAATCTATTGCGTTTTTCATCCTCTTTCTGTCTTTTAATCTTTTTAATTACTTCATTTCATAATATCTTTTCTTTCCTTCATTTTCCCGTCTTTCTTTCTTCCTTTCTTTCTTTTTTTCATTTTTCTGTCTTTCGTGCTTTCATTTTTCCGTCTTTCTTTCTTTCTTTCTTTCTTTCTTTCTTTCTGTCTGTCTTTATTTATTTTTTCTTTCTTTCTACATTCCCCTTTGATCAATAGCACTTCTCTTTCTCTGTCCGTATTTGTTTTTAAACATTTCACTTGATCTATAAAACTCTTTTCTTTCTTTCTTTTTAATTCTTGTGTTTGATCTGTAGTTCCTTTGTTAGTTTATTTCATTAATATTGCACCCGATTTCTCATTCCTTTTGTTCGTTTGCGCGTTTCTTTCCGTTTGAAACCTTGTATCTTGTCTGTCTCCCAAATTTTGTTTACATTTTTACGTTTAATTTTTATTTCTTCTTTTTTTTCTATTTACTTCAATTGGCGCTTTAATATCTCGCATACTTTCTTCTTCATTATTTTATTTTTTTTTTGTATTCTTTCGCAATCATTCATTCTTTCTTTTTAACTTTCCTTCAAAATGTCATCTCATCATTGTGTTTCTTTATTTTTTTTTCTTATTCAATGGTGGATATCTTAAAAATAGAATAACACTCTTTTCTCCCGCAACTTTTACCTTTTTATTTTTATAGATTTACGTGATGCCACCACGAAACATTGAAGATATTTGTCCAGACAAAGAAGAGGCTTTTCGAAATGCCGGTCAGCTTTCAATGGAGAAACACCTGACACAAATCGATTATCTCTAAGAAAGTGGCTGGAGTTAGAGATTTGAAAACAAATAGTTAAACGATACAATAACAGGAGCATCATTTATAAACTAGCGTAAACACGCTGTCAAAATATGATTAATAATTTTGCATTGCTTTTATTTTCTGTATGATTAATCTAGAATTTTTTATCTATACAATTAGGTCTACTGTTGCGTGTAAAGAATAACTCCACTTTTTAAATCCCTAAAACAAAGATATACAAATACAATTGAAATAAAAGTATTATATTGGCAGGCTGGTCTTCCCTAATGTGATATTCGCTTATAGTTGTTGAATTTAATTGATAACAACGGCTATTATTAAAAAGGGGGGCACAGGTTGCGTGACCGATAAATATATAATCACATTTTATTTCATCTGATGGAATAGGAAATAGTTCCACGAAACATTACCAAATTCCGTCAATGATGTTCGACAAGACCAAGTTTGGCGCAGAACTATGTTTCTTGGGCACTCACTGAGTAGATAATTCCTTCTTAATGGCTTCAGATAATAATATTCTAGACAATACGTTTAGCTAATACTATGCTTAGTTCTTTCGGTAGCTGATATATAATGTGAGACGCTAACCTAACGTCCGGGTGTTTTTGTCGAGACACCATCACTAGAAAGACTGCTATCCAAGGCTAAAGAGTGCTTTCAAGCCATGAAGTGAATTATCCCGCGCAAGAAACCAACTTGGAATTTTAATTTCCGTGGACTGTCTTTGAGACTGTGGATTTTTTCCTCAGGGTTTACTTCCGAAGCCTTTCCGATATTGGCTATGGCCGCAAAGTGCCAATACAACTTGGCATTGGTGACGGCACAGGAATTTCCAGAATAAAAATGTATATAACATCGGACTGTCTTAGAGCTTCCGGCCTCGAATTTGTCTTCAGAGTTTACCTCCGAAACCTTTCCGAAGAACTTCCCCTGAACCACCCGAGTTGAATTCCCTCAATAATACATCCATCAAGAGAAGTGAGGACTTCAAATATCTTGGATCACACGTAATAGATTCGCAACAATTCTTCAACATCCGTAAAGTTCTTACATGGCATGCGTATAACAAACTTCACAAGATTTGGCGCTCGAACCTTCGATCCTCATTAAAAGTCCAAACTTTTCGAAAACTGATTGAACTATTCCTACCGTTATGAATCAGAAACTTGGACGTTATCTGCTCGTTCTGAAAGACGACTTGATGGAACATATACAAATCTACTTAGAAAAATCCAGAACATCAGTTGGAGATCTCATGTAACGCTTAACAAAATTTACGAAGAACTGAGACCAATTTCTCTTAAGCTCAAACAAAAACGATTACAGTTTGCCGGCCAATGCCACCGAACGGGCAAGGAAATCTTCTCATTTTTTACTCCTATGGCATCCTTCTGGAAGTGTCTTCTCACGAAAATTGACTTTCCCAGACATTATAGCTCTGGACTTAAGGTTGGACATTGAAGATATGGGGACAGCAATGCAGGACCGAACAGTGTGGAAAGGAATTGTCAATGGAGTTCCGACTGACCAACCATGGTTTGTCGGAACTCCATCATCGAAGGATGATGATGATGATGATATATATATTATAATATTAACTGCCACTGAGGGGACAGGGAAATCGTCTTGTCCTTACTTCTCTGGCATGCTTCTGGAAGTGTCTTCTCACGAAAATTGATTTTTCCAGGCACCATAGCTCGGGACACAGGGCTGAACATTGTGGATTTGGGGACAACAATATGAGACCGAACAGTGTGGAAAGGGACTGTCAACCATGAAGAGGTCGAAGGATGAAGATGATACATATTATATATGTTTAATTACCAAAATTACACTACCCATCAATTTCTAATCCCATTTTTCCTCTCATTTCATTGTTGGAAGTGTTACCTGATGATCCGAAATCCTTTAAAAAGGATTTTGGTGAAATAAATTATTGTGATGGTACCTTAAAGTGGTCTGTTTTTCATTATATATATATATATATATATATATATATACATTTATATTATATATATTATAATATTAACTGCCACCGAGCAGTCAGGGAAATCGTCTCGTCCTTACTTCTCAGGCATCCTTCTGGAAGTGTCTTCTCACGAATATTGACTTTCCTAGACACTATACCTTAGGACTTAGGGTTGGATATTGGGGATCCGAGGACAGCAATGCAGGACTGAACAGTGTGGAAAGAGATTGTCACTGAAGTTCCAACCATCCATACAGATGTCGAATGATGATGATGATATATATATATACATATATATATATATATATATATATATATATATATATATATATATATATATATATATATATATAATATTAACTGCCACCGAGCAGTCAGGGAAATCGTCTCGTCCTTATAACTCTGGAATCCTTCTGAAAGTGTCTTTTCACAAAAATTGACTTTCCCAGACATCATAGTACTGGACTCAAGGTTATTTTATGATATATTGTAATAGTGATTTCGTTTCCTGAGAATTGAATTGCTATTAATCTGTCAGTTTTCGGATAATGCTTTACATCTTGAGCATTCAATAAACCTTCTATGACATAAGATACGATTCTTGAATAGCTTAATAGTATCAATAACACAAGATGCCAATCTGGAATATATGACAGCTATTACTAAGATTCCTTTCTTGAAAATTAATTGCTATTAATAATGTAAGATTTGTAACAACAATCAATAGGAAAAAGGTTCCTTTCTTGTATATTTGATAGCGATAAATAGGACAAGATTCATATATTTAGCATTTACTAGCTATCAATAGGTATAGTATCATTTGTTGAATATTTGATAACAATAAATATGACAATGTTAATTTCTTGAAAATTTAATAGCAAGAAATAGGACCATTGGTTTATCTTATAGCATTTAATAGCTATCGATAGGGAAAGATTAATTTTTTGAACATTTAATAGCATTAAACAGGACAATGTTCATCTCTTGGATAGTTAATAGCATTATATAAGACAAGGTTCATCTTTTCATTTGATAACTATCAATATGACAATATTAATATTTTGAATCTTTAATTTGTGTCTTGAAGCTAGGTAATTAAAAAAGCAGGTAGCCCCAAACCCTGGAATATTTACACATCACAATATTTGAACTTCTGCAGCAGTCACCTAAATCAAATACTTATAAAATCTACCCCGCAAAAGCAATCATTTTATCTTAGGTTGCACATATCTATCTTCTTAGATAGTTACTTGAGTCTTTAAAATATACATTATCCTTCAATGTTATCTATCTATCTATCTATCTATCTATCTATCTATCTATCTATCTATCTATCTATATTCTTTTCAGATCTCTTTGTCTTGTCCCGATTGAGCATTTAATAACAAGCAATTGGACGATGTTAATCTCTTGAATCTCTGTCTATAAAAGGCAGGATGTGTGTGTGTGTGTGTGTGTGTAACGAATGCACGGCCGCAATTTTCGACGGATTTTCACCAAAATTTACATGCACATGCTCCAAGTTAGCGGGAAGGCCATTTGCACTTCCCAACTCCCATCGATAGTGGAAATAATCGATTTTTTCATGCTTCTACGGCAGTTTTCATGTAGTTTGCGGCCATTTTCTCCTGGCCAGAGGGAAAGTCTATAGCTGGCTGCCACGAATAGGCAGGAAGATTCTATTGGCCAGCGTGAGAGCCAACAGCCGACTGACACGAATGTTAACTAGCATGCAAAAAAAAATCGGTAGCTGCATTCGTCACAAGTGGGAAAAATTTAAATCTGCATGGTACTTTACTCCAATTGACTCATTCGCTTGCTTAAACTCAACGTTGATTCTGATTCCGCAGGACTGGGTTGGGTGTGAAAAAGTATTTGTTGTTAACATTCTTTTTTCATTCGGTTTTTCCAGTTTACGAGACCTTTTTTAAAGCTGATCGTTTTGTGTTCATTTTGTTTAGTTCTTTTTTCGTAACAGATTTAATGTTTAGTATAGAGCTTAGAAAAAATTTGCAGTGTGAGATAGGCAAGAAGTAAGGCATGTAGCAACATCAGCACAGTAAAGGGCACTCCTTTAAAGGCAAGGAAGGGCAAAAATATTTTAAGCCAAGTGATAGCGATTGTTGTATGAGTCGTACGATTTTTGAATCAAGCACGGGCAACGCCGGACCGTGCTGCTAGTCTTTAATATTTGTTAATAGGGCAAGGCTCATGTCTTGAACATGTAATGGCAGTAAATAAGTTGGATATTTAATAGGTGTCAAGTCTAATCACTTGAACATTTTGTAGCAATAAACATAAGATAATATTAATTTTTTGAATATCTCATAATTATCATTAAGCTAACTCTTGGGATTTCATTGCTGTTAATGTGTTTTCACGACTCGGAGACGCTATGATCAAGTAGGTGCTGAGATTAACCTTGTCTTATTTGTTGCTATTTAAGTAATAGAGTAAAGGACAAAGGGAAAATGAGGAACAGAATTGCGAAGATGCATTGGAATAGATGCTTTTCCAAAGACCGGATAATGTAGTAAAGGATCGAAAAAAAAATGTGGTTAGAAGGAAACGGATTCTGCACTGGTACGAAATAAAACCACATCTATTCTTGTGAATGACAGACAATTTCCTCGCAGGTGAAATAATGAAAAAGTGATTATATGGACGAATTCTGGGGAATATCATTGGCAAAGATGCGAGAAAGAAGGAGGTTTTAAAAAAAACTGGTTCTAAAAAATTGTTGATAATAATCGGACATAATTAAATGAGGAAAGAAAGCTTAGCGAATGTAAGACTCACAAAGAAAATTGGAGGAAAGAGAAATAAGTGCAACAAGGAGGAGAAACCTAATTGTTCAGAGTGATGTTATAAAAAAGCAAGAGTTCGCTCAACAATATGGAAGTCACAGTGAGACACAGAGAGAGAGAGAGAGAGAGAGAGAGAGAGAGAGAGAGAGAATTTAAAAGATGAATTTTGACACAACCGATTATTAAGATATTTATTGTAGGTTTGAGTGCACAGTGTACAAATTGGTGATCAATATATTAACCACTGGCATACCCACTGTTGGACTACTTGTTTGTTGATTGAATTGTTCACTAAGCAAAGAAAATTCATGAGGAGGTCAAACCATAGGAAGCCTTTGTACAACGCATTCACGTCTTGAAGCTAGATAATGTTAATTAAAAAAGCAGGTAGCCCCAAACCCTGGAATGTTTACACTTCACAATATTTGAACTCCTGCAGCAGTCACCTAAATCAAATACTTATAAAATCTACCCCGCAAAAGCAATCATTTTATCTTAGGTTGCACATATCTATCTTCTTAGATAGTTACTGGAGTCTTTAAAATATACATTATCCTGTAATGTTCATTATCTATCTATCTATCTATCTATCTATCTATCTATCTATCTATCTTTACTGTCTTACAAATCTATTTTGACTTGTCCTTTTCAGATACGTCGTGTTATTTTCATATCTATCTATCTATCTATCTATCTATCTATCTATCTATCTATCTATCTATCTATCACTTCAAAATCTATTTTGACTCGTCCTTTTCAGATACGTCGTGTTATTTTCATATCTATCTATCTATCTATCTATCTATCTATCTATCTATCTATCTATCTATCTATCTATCTCTTCAAAATCTATTTTGACTCGTCCTTTTCAGATACGTCGTGTTATTTTCATATCTATCTATCTATCTATCTATCTATCTATCTATCTATCTATCTATCTATCACTCTCTTCAAAATCTATTTTGACTCGTCCTTTAAGATATGTCGTGTTATTTTCATATCTATCTATCTATCTATCTATCTATCTATCTATCTATCTATCTATCTATCCTTATTCTCTCTCTCTTGTCCTGATATTTTCTATCTATCTCACTATCAAGTAAGTTCAGACCTATCTATTACTAGCTAACTAAAACAATTACAAATTACGCGTCTCCTCGATGTCCGAGATCAATGAAACACGAGGAATTTTAAAGGTATTTTTTTTTTCTCTAATTAAAATATTCGTACTACAAAAATCCTCCTAGCTTACTTTCAGTACATTTGAGTGCTTCTAGAATTTGCAATATCCACGTGGTATAAATATCTATCTATAGACAACATAGTTGAACTAAGATTTTTTCAGCGTAGCGGTATATGGCACAGGGATAAACAATCTGCGGGACAGTAATTATATTATTCTATACTTTAAAATAAGTAGAGCATATTTGACTAGAAAATTAATATTAAGCATTCTTGACTGGACCCGGGTTTGAACACCGACCAATGGCACCGTGAGGTGATACACATATACCTCATTAAAGTAATGTAGCGTTACTTATCAATTGAAGCTATTCCCATAAATTGACGAAAACACCTGAAGGAATTTTTCTTACTTTTACAATTGATGCGAAAGCTTCTGGTGATTGGTGAGCTGGGTTGAGGAGGTTTTGTATAATGGATAAGTTTTCGCGTTGCGCGGCTAAATTTAGGGCAGGAATGCCTTCGGAGAAAACGGAACGGCTGTAAATACTCACAGCGGATTCTTTCTTTTCGTGAATGGCAATCAAGCCGAAAGCAAATAGGATCGAATTGATTACGTTACTCGAAGATGGAATCGCAAACAAGGTTACTTGGTGCATATCCGGAGAAAAGAATATAATAGGATGCGATGATAAAGAAATCGAATTTTATTCTCTTTTTTTTCTTTTATTTTAACACCTGTTTTTTTTTTTAATATAACTAAACATGTGACTAAATGTTCAAGTAGTATTAGGTTGGAAAAAAAGACGAGCCTCATTTAAAGGTGGAAAGAAACTTCTTTGGTTCTAATTGATATATTTAATCAAGATTATCGTTCCCCATCTTTAACCATAACATAATCTCATCTATTTAGCAAATTGTCGATAGGTCGGGTGTAAAATGTGTCAGGTCATATTTAAGTTCTTCAAAATTAATAAACAATTTTACCTCTAAAAATTCTTGTAATGATTCCAATATGAATGGCTCAATGTTATGAAAAGAAAGGAGGATAAAGTAAAACTTTTATATTTAGTGATCTTTATCAGTGACTCCAGCAATATTTACTATTACATTTTCGTGTAAGACAAGGATCGTGAAACTTTATAGACCAAAGACCCTCCTTTTGTTTTTCTTCCTTCCCCAAGTAAACCTCAATTTAAAATGTCTTTGAATCTTAAAACTAGCACTAATATTGGCAATTAGAATGTTAACTAAAACGTATGAAAAGTTAAGAAATTTGAATCAGCTTAAAAGTTTTCTACCCAAGTGCTCAATTTCCCCACCAAAATATATTTTAGAAAAGCATACCAAATAACCCCAAGCAACTAATATATTAAGTACATCAAGCCGAAATACAGCCGATGCTATTGAACAGAAATGCATAACTGATCATATCCAACTGCACAATTATACTAATTAAAATAAATATACTATTATTGCATCATATTTAATGCAAACATAGCAATCAGGTCAAATGACCTTCATAATCATAAACTCTATTTTATATTTAGAGATTGAAAAAAAAGGGGATTGTTATCTGAAAATCAACTTGAAACAATTAAAAAAGAGCAAGTAATGCTCAATGTAGCATTAAATAAGTCTTATCAAAATAAGTTAAACGCTACTTGGAGGGATGTAACTAAGGATTTTGGTTCAGTTGATTGTTGAGCTCAGTGTCTTTCTTTCACCTGCACCGAAGAATACGATACACATGTACACTAACTAAAGTTTAGCTCAGTGTCATACGCACACTGACCCCCCCCATTTGGCTCCTTCACTATCATTGACCCTCTGGTACACCTCACCAACCCCTAGTGGGTCGCTCGAACTCCGTTTGACGACTTCCGGTGTAAGAGAAAGACGCCTTTATAATTAACCAATGGTAGCCGCCTGTTTCTGCAATGTTTTGAACAACGGTTCCCGTTAATGATAATAAGTGTTCACATTACTTGTTCCTTTTGGGTTTAACACTTCATAACTGACGACACATTTCAAATCTCACTAAAAATAGAACATAACTTTTTCGGATATAGCTCCGTTTTAGAAATACATTGTCCTTTTTCAGAGAGTACTAACTCTTGTCGATTTCATTCAGTATGTTTATATAGAAAACAATTCTCATCGTCCTGGGTAAGACGTTAAACTACATCCAGCAGTAAGACCTCTGATCCGGAGGTTTTGAGGAGCGTGGAACCACCTCTTAATTGCTGCCCACTATAGAAAAATAGTTAACTATTACCAGCAATACTTTTTGAAAAGGTTATTACCAGCAATACAATTTTGAAGGAAATATATTAACAGAAACAGATTTTTGACAAAACAAAATATTACCAGCAATAAAAAATTTTGCCAGCATTAAATAACCCATTGAAATTGATATGCCGTAAAATAAAATAAACCAAACCACTCTAAACGAAAGAATACATATTGTATTCATACAAATCTATCCTAAAGATGTTGTTGGCATTAAATAAAACATTGAGGTTGATATGCCGTAAAACAAAATAAACCAAACCAATCTAAACGAAAGAATACATATTGTATTCATAGAAATCTATCCTAAAAATGTTGTTGGCATTAAATAACCTATTGAGGTTGATATACCGTAAAGCAAAATAAACCAAACCAATCTAAACCAAATAATACATATTACCTTCATAGAAATCTATCCTAAAAATGTTGTTGGCATTAAATAACCTATTGAGGTTGATATTCCGTAAAACAAAATAAACCAAACCAATCTAAACGAAAGAATACATATTGTATTCATAGAAATCTATCCTAAAAATGTTGTTGGCATTAAATAAACCATTGAGGTTGATATGCCGTAAAACAAAATAAACCAAACTAAACCAAACCAATTCTTACCAACCTTTTCTTTATACTGATGTTCACCCAATACAAGGTCCAAAAGCCACTCAAGGTAGAGGGTTACTGTATGGTGTTGTATAAGCATAAGAAAAAGTAAGAAGTGATGTTCTTGGGGCTATATAAGAAAGAAAACAGCTAACACGAAACTTGAAGAAGTTAAGATTGTTGTTATTGGGGAAGCATAAATAAATGGACAGACATTCTTCAAAATCACTCATCTCTTTAGGCAATTTCGCTTTTGTAGGAAACAAACAATTAAAAATGGATAAAGAACACAAACTCATTAAAGCAGTCCTATATTTACCATTTACAATTGAGTACCCATCAAAGCAAGAAACTGAAGAATGTTCAGTACAAAAAAAAAAAGTAAAAAAGAAAACTGACTTCAGTTATGAAGAATTAATCAAATTATTCTAGTGTTATCTAATATAATAAAAACAAGAACAATTATAATACTCTGTTTTTGAAGTACAGGGAAATAATATTGCGTTAATAAAAAGTCAATTATGTTTACAAGTTTATATACCCAGACAATAGTTATTCTCCGTTTAACTCTTTCATAAGTTCTAAAATTTAGTCTCAATCACAAAATAACTTTACAATGTCTTCTCCTTTGAGTTTATATATAATGTTAGGATATTACATCGAAAACATCAAAAAATGAAAAAAAATGAAAATGGAATTGTACTCTATTCGTTCTCATCTCACCTGGATATATATATATATATATATATATATATATATATATATACACACACACACACACACACACACATATATATATATATATATATATATATATATATATATATATATATATATACAAAAACTCTTAGTTGCATTTTTTCCATTAAAGTTCACCCAATACAAGGTCCAAGAGCCACTCAAGTTGGATGGAGGATTACTGTGTGTTGTTGTATGAGCGTAAGAAAAAAGTAAGAAGCGAAGTTCTTGGGGCTATGAAGGAAAGAAAACAGTTAACACTAGACTTGAAGAGGTTAAGATTGTTGTTATTGGGGAAGCATAAGCGAATAAACACGACTTTAGAAGGAACCAGAAACCCTATCTTAAAACAGGAAACAAGATATAAACTTCTACTCTTGTTCAAAAGCTCATAGTAACGTTTGTCTTTTCGCTATTCCAGTTAGTCCGTCCGTATTCTACGATTATTAGAAATTTCTATATGACTCCTTCTTCTGTGTGTCATGTCCTGTCAGAACGTGGGCAATCATCGCTAACCACAACTTCTTATGTTACGTGGTTTTCCCAATGTTTATTTTATTTTTTACTATGACTTCAACTGCTTGTTCTGTCATTCATTTAAATAAGATCATAAGGCAAGATACTCACTGTTTCCCTCTGAACCTTTTGCATTCTATATATCCTGTGAGTGTCACATTCTCCAAGCCCACTTTCCTCATTATATGAAAGAAATTCCAATTGTCTCTTTCTGATTTTATGTCTAAGCGTAAGCGTCCATTATGTTTTCAATTTCCTTAAAGCGTCGTAGCTACTCACATGTTAAGTCCATGACATTCTCAGCATGCTTCTGTAGAACGACATTTCTGTTGTCACAGGCCTCTTTTTCAGCTGTGGGGAGATTGACCGGTATTCACTGCCATATAGGTGGGATTGATATCATATAACAGTTCAGCACCGTTTTCTTTGTTTCTAACGAATTTTTTTCTGTTTCTTAATACTATGCTTAGCAGTTGGAAGGCATCTTTCCCTACCCTTTACTCAAATTAATAAGTAATCACCAATGAGAATTCGTCATGAAAAAGGTATCATTGAACAGAGATATTAATGAACACTGTTCAATTATTAACGTTAACAACGAACTCTTTTACTAAATTATGGTTGGATTTAACGAAAATTATTTACAATATAATACATATTACTACATTCCTTCTTGTCGTCTATTTTGATTGCACAGGTACACTAGTGTTATTATAATTATGTTAAAAATTGATCATTTAAACTTTTACATTCCATGGAATTGGGAGACCTCAAATCTATTAATTTAATTGAAAAACA